TTTAGATTGGACGTGAGGAAAAATGTCTTTACTGCAAGAGTGGTTAAACATTGGACCCGGCTGCCCAGGGAAGTGGTTGAGTCCCCATCCCTGGAAGTATTTAAAAGACATGTAGATGCGGCACTTAGGGACATGGTTTAGTGGGCATGGTGGTGTTGGGTTGACGGTTGGACTCGATGATCTTGGAGGTCTCTTCCAACCTTAATCATTCTATGATTCTATGAAGAGCATGTTACAGACTTCTCTACAGAGTTAATGCGTGTTTTGATTATTTGAGTGTTGCCTCCAACTTCTGTTCTACTCATACACAAGAAGTTTCCATTTGAGTTTAGTAATTTTCAACAAAAGCGGGTCTGCTTGTTGGGGGGAGAGAAAAGGAAGAGAGAAGTGTTAATTCAAATCAGTACACCTGATGTTTACTATAGTATTTGAATGCTGCCATTTTCAAACAAAAGAGCTCAGAGATAAGTTACTGTAAGATAGCCAAGAGGTACATTTCGAGAAGAGGTATTTTTAGACTATTCTGATTTCCTGTGAAGGTGCAGTTTAGATCTAGTCACTCATTAATTGGGTTATACTCAAGTCTTATTCCACACCACCTCTTTTAGTCTTTTTTTGTTTGGAAACAGCTTGTTGCCTAAGAGGAGTAGAATTTGAGTTCTGATATTTCAGGTCGATCCTGCAGTGAAGAAAAAAATGTAGGTAACTAATGGTGTGAATTGCATGAGTATGGGGGGGGGGGGGTTAATGCTTTTGGAATGAGAATTAATGGAAGACATTGTTTGGCTGTTTTTTAGGTTTTTGAGTTTGGGGGTTTTTTTAAAGATAGAAGCATAATTCAAAGCTAAGAGACAAAAAAAAAGGGAAGATGAAAGAAGGGAAGGCTGGTGGTGGGAAGATATAGCGCAAGTGTCATTTATATATAGCATAAATAGGCTCATTTTTTAACCAGCACTGTTAATTGCAAAGTCCACTATATAAAGAATGGTTCAGCAATTTAAGCACTCAGAAAATGGAGGAACTGGCTGTTGGACCTTCCTCAGAAGGATTCAAATTCATAATTCACTCACTCAAGGAGTGTGTTCCAGCTGCCCTACAGAACCAGGTGCTTCCCCTCCCCTCCATCACCACCAGAGGTGGGCCATCAGGAAACCAGGACTGCAAGAATCATGCTAGAAGGACAAGCAAGGAAAAGCCCAGCTATGAATTGCGCACTCAGTTGTGAAGAGGCAGACTTGGGCTCCACGCTCTGGTCGCAGGATGTTTTTCACATTTTACAGCAAAGTCTTGAAGTCAAAGGAAAAGTGTCAGTGGGGAAGGGAGTGAGAAAGATAAGTATCTTTAGAAGTAACCCAGGAAATAGGAATGACACTAAGTCACTCCCTCTTCCCAGCTGAATATTTTAACTTCTAAGTTACAGGGTTAGGCTGCTTCTCACTCGCCTCTATTCCAACTATGTCCCATTTAAGGCACCTTTCTGGACTCCACCCAGAGACTTGAAACGATGGCAGGAATTGCCATCAATTAGGATATCTGTCAAGCAGGGTGAGTAGGAGTGTGTCCCTTCTTAAATGCCGGGAGATATGTGAAGGTTACCAGGTCAGCATTTTCTCAGATATTTATGGATTAAAAACTGAGCCATGGCCAAGTGAAGTGAGACGATGGAGTGTCAAGGACAAGTACGCCTTGTAAGCTTGCTCTCCTCCTGTTGTCTCACAGATAAAATTATTCTGGGGTGAATTTATATAATGCAACTGTGGTAAAGTAATTTAGTATCCCAAGAAATGAAGGTGGGAGTGGCAGCATCTGATCTCAGAAAAGTTTAGCCAAGGAGAGTTAAAGTTAATGATCAAGAGAAATCATGAGAGGAAAGAAGAGAGACATCTAACGATGCAGGTGGGATGGAGAACTGATTGCATAAAGACACCAGAGGAAAGATCAGATTGGGTGAGGACCTACCTGTAAGCTGAGAACCCGTAGTAATGGGAATCATGAACAAGAATAAGGAGTTTTAATCTGGAGAACTTGTGACAAGCCAATTAAGAAGGAAAGGGGAAGACACCAAATATAAAGAGCTCAGACTGGAACTTGCAGAGAAACTGAACTGGAATAAGAACCCCGAGACACAGAGGTTGAGACTGGGTAGGTGAAGTTAATGAAACGGGAATGGGGAAGGCGGTAGAGGAAAAGGGTGAGAACAAGGAAGGCACAGGCTCAGGGTGATCGAGCAGGTAAGTCTCCGTGCAGCAGATTCAGCACCCTTCACCTTCAGAACGCATGGAATTTAACATGCCAAAACCTGGTGTCAGATGAAACTGTAAAGATATCCCATTTTCCATTCATGTCTCCTCATCCTCTTAACCTAGTGTTTCTAGACATGGAAGAGAACCACCTGCTATTGCTAGCAACACAGTTACTCTGTTAGCTAAGTGGAATGTATTTCTGCATCTAGATCTAAAGATTCTCCCCTACCAACTAATTTTGCATATATTGACCCAATGTCCCAGAACTCAATTTATTTTCATAATTCAAAAGCTAAAGAAATGACATGCAGACTCGCTCCTCCCCGCCCTGAATCTTGCATGAAGAGAGTATCAATATTAGAGAGCCAAGCTTGCAGAAGCATAGAAATGCATGTGCAAGCTTCACCTCAGTCCTCATCTACTACGGAATACATAATGACAGTCATCAATATTTCAGTCCTTAATAGTTCTGTCTTTAATATTTATTCTTCTAGATATTTCTTTCCCCAACAATCATGCTTCATTGCATAGGATAAACTTGAGCTCTTTGTTCAAGTCAGAATTACACAATAGGAAAGGGAAATGCATTAAAGAAAGTCTCCAGATTAAGGCACTTGAACAGTGCTTTGTAGAACAGCAATCTATACCAATCCCTATCAGCCATCTTCTTGTGCAATGTCAGCTTTCCAGAGAAGGTCATCAGTCTGGGGTACTTTAAAAAAAGTATTTGAAAGCAAAATAACAAGCATTAGTTCCAGTAAGCAAATAATTATTTTTGAGTATTGCAGTCATGCCCAAAGCTCCACTTTGCCTCGCTGAACAGGTAGCAAAGCAAAATCGGTCGCTGAGCTCTCTTGAAAAAGCAGAAGCCCAAAAGCCTGGCTTTACATGGACCACGACTCAGCTGAGATTTTAAACAAAAATATTATGAAAAATAAAATAATTTTTTAAAAACCCTCTTCTTTCGCATTCAGCTGTAGAACGTAACTAGACCCCATCCCAAAACAACACACGCACTTGCCCTAAATCCTTGTCTGCTCCTGGTGACCCCTAAAAAGAAGATTACTCGTGATGCTTTAGGATTTTGAAAGATGTGCAGCCCTGAACTTGCTTAAGAGAAAAAGCTGCCAACAATACCCTGAAGGTATTTGAAGATTAGGTTTGAGGCTGTCTAGACAGAAACCAAGCTTGTAATAACCAATTCTCCCTAACTGACACCCCGCAAACAAACCTCTCCTGAATAGCTTGATCATAGTCACGGCTTCATTCCCTGGAACCAGTCGCAGGCAAATAGCCAGAGGCCAGATGCCAGGCACTGGTAGGAAACTGCCAGGACCAGAGTATGCCGGTACAGCAGATACCTACTGCATAGCTGGAATACTACAACAGCGCTATCTGTTGTATTTTCTGTACAAGTGCCATGAACACAATTCTTCAGAAAAAATGGATGAGAAGATAGCTTATTGTCAGCAAGACACCTTGTTCCTTATAATTCATAATATTCCTAAGTGCAACAAGGAAATATAGTGAAATAAGAAACATTTTACCTTCCTGTCTTTCCAATTCTCTTATCAGTTCATTTTGTAGATGATTATGTTGTGATGTTGTCAAATCCATACTATGCCACAAAACCTGGGACAGAGAAACACAAGCCTGCCTGAATGAAATGACTTTATTTCTTTTTCCCCACATAACACTTCACAAAAAAAAAATTTACGTATATTATGCTATAATTTACTTCTATTGATAATAAAGACATGTAGACACATAAATATCAATATTCAAAGCATAAAAGAACCAGAAGCATCAAACTAGTTCAACTGTTGTACTCTTAAAGGGGGGAAAAAAACAAGTAGATTAAAAACAAACAAACAAAAAAGAGCTTTGAAAAACTTTTAAAACTATTTTATGAAATTTTAAAGATTAGAATCAATTCAAATCAGAGATGGTAGGCTTATAAATGATTGAAAGGAAAGGTAGCAACAAATGTCTGAAAGAGAAGAAAAATTGCACCAAAAGGATCTAACCTCGTTTGAATTAATTGGCTTAGAAGGGAAGGAAACGACCTATTAGTAAAAGTTGCACATAAGAATAAGTAGGAAGCAAGATCTATAGCCAACATGAAGAACAGAATGTGTATGTGCATGTATAAACAGACACAGAACATGCAGACTCAGGAGAAAAAAGTAATAGGAAAAATATGACAGAGGACAAAACAATTTTCAGCTGTCTGCAGAAAAGCAGACAGACAACCAATAGTCTCCAATTCTTGATATTTTACAATCAGAAAAACACTGAGTTCACAGAAAAGAAAAAAAAAATCAGTGCTCTGGTAATTTTTAAAGCTCTTGCACTGTTCTATGGAAATCTGAGTGATTTTTGCAGGAATGGTTACAGGCAGCATACAGTTAACAATCTACAGATGTCTAAACACCCAATAGGGATGCAATTAAGTAAGGCAATGGGTGAAGGAGTATCTCTATCCAGTTAAAAAAAAAAAAAAGCAATCAAAGTAAAAACATACGCTGACTATCGAGAAAACTTCCTCACAGTGCAAAGCCTCAGGCAAGTTTTCCTCTCAAAACTTCAGACGAAAGAGGACAGTACAGAACAGCCCTGTCTTGTTAGAGAGGGTGTACCGTACTCTCTTGACTTCACCCTACAAAAGACACACAGGTTTAATGTTTAACGTTACTGCCGCAGTGCCAGCAGCCATTAACCTATTTGAAGGTGAAAAATAAGTTAGGGGGCTTCTACACATTACCATAACACATCCAACAAAAACACTGCTATTATATTTATGTCTAGCTATGAACGTAGCAACAGTAACATCATTACTTGGGGGACAGAAAAGAGATTAAATGGGATTCAAAGTCTTTGTATGCATCTGCAGAATAACAAGTAGCATTAGAAACTACTGGGACATTAAGCAGTAAACGTTACACACACCCGTCAGCTTGTCATCTACCTCAGAAGTATAAAAAAGACAAATTTTCTTCCCGTTAGAAGATAAAAATAACAGGTTAATAATCAGTCCTTTTGCATTCTGAAGGACAAGCAACGTTGCACTATAAAGTCACCCTAAAAGGAAAAACCTTTGTATTTTGTGGTCCTCTACGTTTTCTTTTTCCTTCTAAAAATATCCTTTGAGGTACACTGAACTGCACAACCACCTGTCTGACTTTAACATACGAATTCAGGCGTACTACAGGCGACTAAACAGTGCAGACCAGCTCGGTTGCCGCGTTATGCTGTTTGAAGTAAATGATACGAAGTAAGTCACAGTAAAAGGCGCAGGCAAGTGGAATACCACTGGCATCCGCTGTGTTCCAGACGGTATTACCCGAATCTCTTGCAGCTTTCCGAAGATCTAACAGAAAAGTCCTTTCCTGCCCGGTCGTCTCCCTCCCAGGCAGTCGCAGGCAGAACCGTGCTCTGAAGCGTGTGTCACGCGTTGACAGCGTCCCCGTGCCAGCAGCAATAATAAATCCCGACAGCTGCAGCACGGACACGAAGCGGGCACCGCGCACCGCATCCCCTGCGTAAGGGAGCAGATTTCGCAACAGCAGGAAGCACCCAGTCAAGGGAGCTCCAACCAACAAAGTAACCAACTTCGGAGGTTTTTTTACAAAAATAAGATAGCGGCAGGGCATTAACTCGCTGTTACTAAAAAGTAACCGAAGAGCTAAATATCGTTCTTCAGAGTCAAAGGGGACTTCCAAGCACCCAGCGCAACTGCATTTGTGGCAGGGGTGCATTTGTGGCAGGGGTATCTAAACGCGTGCTCACGTTGGAATGCAGAACTGTAACAAGGTACACAACCCCCAAAATCCTAGCCCACTTCACCCCACGAGACAGCTGTCAACATGCAGAATTATACACATATCACTCCTCCTTTGTATGTACGAGAGCTACATTCGCTCACCAGATCGCAACCACTTACCGCCACGGGAACAAACACAGGTATCTTTAAGGCTTCTCTCATTTAGACTGTAATCAATTCAGGACAGGAACTGTCTCTTACTTTGGACAGTTCTTAGCAAAATTAGGCTTCAAACTCAACTGGGGTTTCTAGGTGCCATTGAAAAATAATAAATTATTGCACAAAAAGACTAAACAAGCCCTACAGAGAACTGAAGGTCTCTGTACTTTACCATACTTGGTAGAAGAAATTAATAGGAGCTCTTCTACATTTAGAAACTATCAAACAAATCACCAAGACCTGATCTACGCTTTTAAAGCAAAATTCAGTAATACGAATGAGTGATTTACAAAACACTGCTGTAAACTGGCTGTCCAGGCTGAGAAGTTGCTTAATATGATAATCTTTTACAAAAGTAATGTCAAAAGGGATACTGTTTGCCCAGTAAACGCTGTACACGAAGTACTAGACTCTCTGCAGCTGTAAGGGCCAAATCCTACCCAGTTCACCTCAGCCCTTTAGGGGAGGCTAACATTTCACACAAAACTTCATTGTATGGACTTGGACTTTCAAGTAATGAAACAGTGAGAAATTAAGTAGAAATACTAAATGAGAAGACAAAAGAAGCGAGAGGACTAAAACGTAATGTAAGAACACAAGTACGACTGGCAGCATTCAGTGCTTTTCTGTCTTAATCCACAGGAGCTATAAATAAATTCTACAATCATTCAGAGAGACAGGTGAGGTGGGGGGAAGCCTGAGCCTAACACGTTGTTTCTCTCACAAATTAATCCGACATGAGTGCTGCAACCAGTGGGTACCTCTGAACATCACTTCTGCAGACAAGTTGTCTTTGGACACGGTCATGAAACTCCAAACCTAGAAAGATGACGTTTGCATTCAGAACACAAATTACGGCACCTCAGACTATGTAAGGACTTACTGTGCTGTATGATTTTCCATGAGATTTTTACGAGTGTACATTGTCTCATGAACGGTTCGATAAGCAACATCGCTGCGAGCACAAAACTTTCAAGACAGGCATAACGAAGGGAGTAAGGAAAACAACACTATTTGAGCTGATTTTCCTTCTCTCAGCACCTAGAAATAATCCAAGTTGCTTTCAAAATTTCATTTAAGTTTGAAGTTAAGGAAGCAACAGATTGCATGTGATTTTTAACAGCTCTCTCACCTCAGTCAGAATGCAAATGAATGGGCGTCATGTTTTGGCTCAATTTTAAAATCTCGAAACAGAAAACTTATATCAAGTCAAATGTAGTTTATGTACTTTATGTAAGTACTTTTTAAGTACTTTATGAGTAAATGTGCTAAAATTATTTTTTTCACCGTTTAAAATCCCTCCTATTTAAGTTCTGGACACAAAATGCACGAGAAATACATGACAAATAGGGATAATTTATTATTTATCAAAAATTCATTAGAATATTTACAAAGCTTAAGTCGTAAAAACCCACGCGCACACAGTCTCTCTTTTTTAAGACTTTTTTTCTTTAAGACTTTTTCTTCCCCTCTTGCTCTGCGATCTCTTTTTTCTGCCCTCAAACACAGGTTTGGCAGTCACCATGACTATGCTTCCCCGTTCTTCATCCTCACCACTTGAGCTGCTGCACCCCTTTTTCTCTTTATGGTCTGCTGTCTCCACTGCAGAGACATTTCTCCTCTTTTTGCTCTTGCCTAAATCTCTGCTTTCCAATTCCTCTACTGAGGAGTCACTGGAAGTTTCTGAAAGATGCAAATTCCCAACAAAGCCACCTCCATATAAATGTTCTTTTCTGGAATCTGAGTATTTTCTTCTCTTTCCACTTTGGACTTCTGTTGCCACAGCTTGACGATTTGCGCAGCCTGTAGTACCTTCCCCTTTCCTCTCCTCGTGCTGTTTAAGTTCCATCTCCGTAACAGCAGTGGCCTCCCGAGTTTCATCGGCGGCTTCTTTCTCCTTCCTCTTCAGGCAAGTCACAGCTCTGCGCAGCCTCTGACTTTTAATAGCTTGCTTTTCATGCTGTGCTAGTCTGAAGAACGAATCAATTCGAAGCTGAGTCTATCAAAAATAAAGCAGAGAAACACCTCTGGATGTTTTTGTGATGGGAATTCAGTTGTTAGTTATACTATAAAGCATCCCAAATTAAAGCAGGACAGAGGACTAATGAAATTAATATGCATGCTAATAGAGGTGAATAAGATGCATTATTATAGTAATACCTATACTTTATTATAAATTACACAACAAGAACCTTTACAGAAACTAAATAATAAGCAAACTCCAGTGAAATTTTATAAACATTGTGCTGCTGACGATTAGACATATGTTGCTATTTCCAACCCTAACACAGAGAATCTCCGTAGTGCTCTTAAGTATGTCTTTACAAACACATCCTTAGCTGCAAGCTGTTAAAACAACAGAATGTTTACTAAGCAAATGTTGTAAGTGCACTTTACATTTGCATATGCTAGTGCAACAAAACGCGGTCGTTTGACTCAAGTTCATTGTAACGCATGCTGCTACAGTATAAAGATTTAAGAGTAGAACTAGAAGTAGTCGCACACAATGGGTCTGTGTTATCCAACCAGAGGCTTGCTGCATAGACGAAGCTAGTTCTCTATATTCTCCCTAAAAGTGTCTGAGAGAGACAGACGCTTCCAAAGGATGTTCCAGTCAACCTGAAAGTATATGGATTTAACTACGGGTTTTGGTACCTTTCACTCCTCTGAGTGATAAAGAGAACCTAGAACACTGGTTTAGACTACGCATCTATCTTGCTTATGGCAAAAGGAGAAAAGAATCTGACCTTACGTGATCAGTTTTACAACTGACTTTCACAGTATCACAGCATGCACCGCTATTCACTTTTAAGTTTTATTAAAGTTGACAGAACATTTATTTGGACATTAGAGTAATATTATTAACGG